AGAGCGCCTGTGTGTGTTCGTGAACTTGTGTGTATGTGTTGGTTGGTTTTTGTGATGTAGTGTGCGTGTTTGTTTGTTTGCTTGACCTAATGTGTGTTTGTTTGATTTCTTGACCTACTGTGTGCTTGTTTGTTTTCCTGACTTAGTATACATGTATTTGTTTGTGTTTATGGCCTAATGTGTGTTGGATTGTTCTTATTACCTAGTGTGCTTGTTTAGTTTGTGACCCTGTGTGTTTGTTTACGTGACTTAGTGTGTTCTTGTTTTTGTTTTCTTGCCCTAATGTATGTGTTTTTGTTTTCGTGACATAATGTGTTTATTTGTTTCCGCCACCTAGTGTGTATTTATTTTCTTGAAGCAGTGTGCGTGTTTGTTGGTTTTCGTGACCTAGTATGCGTGTTTGTTTATTTATTTACGAGTATTTGTTTATATGATTACATGTGTTTATGTGAGTAGTGAGTTTGTTTGGTTATGTAAATAGAAGTGTTTTTCTGTTGAAGGGGGTAGATGTGCTTGTTCTTGTGTGTTTGTTCAAGCGAGTACGTGTTTGTTTGTTCTCCTGAATGTGTGCTCTTGATTTGGGTGTGTTTATTCATAAATGTGAGTGTGAGTCAGGATTGAGTCTATGTACAGTTGCGCCTGTCTACGGGGTTACATGTATTATTATACGTATCAAGTAATCTAATGAAAGAAAAAAAATAAAATACAGTTTTCAACTTCACAATTAAAAACGCCAATATAAAATTTTATTTTATTTTTCATGGATCACAATTCTGGACATATTTTCACAATCTTATTTGAAGTTAGTGTATGATAGAGAGTATAAATGGAGACACTTTTGATTGTAAAGTATTCATGAACCAAAACATGTATTTTTAAATAAACATAGGAAGAGGAACAGATTCTTATTTGAGTCAGACATGTCTCCACACCGGATGAAATTTGTAAATGAATAAATCTCTAAATTAGATAACCAACAAAAAGAAAATAGGTATTTCTTAACACAACCGAACTCACGCCGACGTTCTACAAGGACTCGGTCTATCGTGGACTTGCCAGGAGTGAATCCAGATTGCTTCAGACTTTGGTTCCTTAGTGGGTGGTTGCGGATCAGAAGAATGTGGGCGAGAACCCTGCCTGGTAGACTGAGTAATGTGATGCCACGGTAGGTGCTACAGTCCCAACGATCCTCTTTCCCCTTCCAGAGAGGGATGACCACGCCCATCAACAGGTCAGGGGGAATGAAACCGATATATATATATATATATATATATATATATATATATATATATATATATATATATATAATATATACACATATAACATATACATATATATATATATATATATATATATATATATATATATATATATATATATATATATATATATATAATATATATATATATATATATATATATATATATACACATATACATGGACGTATACATATACATGTATGGTATATGCATATATAGAAAGGGGGCACTCATTAAAGATTTTTCCTGGCCCATTTCCGCTTAGCATAGGAGGCTGAAATTTCACATGCATAAAGATACATATCTCTATAAGTAATGTGTTGTGAAGGTGCGCTAAGGTGTGAGCCAATGGATTATCGATCAGTGATCAGGTTTTTATACTTGAATGGCTGCGCACCACGGAGGACCTTCAATTAAATGAAAACTTATGGGGAGGATGCCCCATCATATGACGTAGTTAAACATTGGCATCACCAGTTCAGATGTGGCTAGAGATTTGTGGAAACGGCTCCAATCCCAGGGCGACCCCAGGACACCGTCTGTTAAGTGAGGAATGCCATTTTGGAAGATCAATGTATTACTGTTTGAGATGTTAAGATTAGTGTTGGGCCTGTGTACAAAATCAATCATGATCATCTGTACGTGCTCGATGGGTTGTCTGCTTGATGGCTTCCCAGACTACTCACACTTTTCCAGAAGTAGGAACGAATCTCTTGTTCCAAGGCTTTTTTTTTTAGTCATATGCCATGAAAACCAGGAGAACTTTTCTGATAGACTGATTATGAAGGATGAAACCACTATGATCCAGAAACTACAGCTCATACAAAATAATGGAAACACTTTGACTCATCACCACTAAAAAGCCAAGTGTCACACCTTTGGCAGACAAGATCATGTTCACAGTATTTTTGGACCAGCATAGAATATTGATGATTGATTTCGTAGCAAGAGGTAGTACAATTATAGGAGCTTACTATGCTACACTGCTACAGAAATTATGGGAGGCTATCAAAACCAAGAGGCAAGGAATGGTGTCCAAAAGGGTTCCCTCTACAAGACAACATCTGAAGGAAGCACGGTCCAGTGGTTCAGACATTCTTCCTCATCATCCTTGATCTTCTAAATGTTACCATCTGACTTTCAACTCTTTCTGTCCATGAAGTTATTATTGAGAGAACGAAGTCTAAAATCTTTTCTCAAGAGTTAAGCTTATGGCAATTAATCCATAAATTGGAATAGTAACAGTTCTTCGCCTGGGATTCCCGGCGTGGCCATTAGGGTCTGGAACACTGAATAATCCGCTCAAGATGCGGGTCATGGTTGCCCTGTTACTTCTAGCAGGATAGTTCCTTGTAGCAGCTGGGGAGGATGCTGAAGCTTGGGGGTTATATCATTATGGTACAATTAATATGAGAGGTTGCTTAGAAATCGACTGTGAATTGTATTTCATTTCACCGCTGTATTTTAAATGCTCCTCTGGTTAGCGAGAAAACATGATTCCGATGGCCTGATATTGTTTAAAAGAAGCAAATCTGTATCTTTGTATAGAGTAAAACGTTTAAATAAAATATTGTAAAGACATTATAGGAAATCTAATAATAATATTCAACAAGATGTAGCATACAGCATTGTGCATTTAAGCTAAAGAATCCATATGAACTTTTTGTTCAGTGACATTCTGGATAGATTAAATGACACAAAAAAACGAAAAAAAAAAACACAAAAAAACTGACACATAAACCTAATTGACACAACCGCTACTTTAGTAAGTAATTGTATGTTATGTATGCGTGTGTGTATGTTATGCTATGAATACATAGCATAACATACACACCCGCAGTTAAACACATATGTAAAGTCGTTAATGAAATTTACATTTTAGATGCAATATTATTTTCGCAAATCATTACTATATTTTGCATGAGTTTAAACTTGATATAATCCGAATGTCCTACTACAAAACGCTGTTTGTAATTAACCAGTATTCATATTTTACAATCGGTAAAAACTCGATGCTGTAACAAAAAAAAGCCAAATACTGTTGCTAATTGATTATATCAAATGAGGGTATCTTGTAATAAAATTGCTAACACATTTTAATTCACATAAAGTAGTCATGATAAACTTCCATAATACATCTAAAATTCACATTTAAATAGATGCAGAAAAATAAGGAATAAGTATAGCAAGTAGATAAAGAAATAACAATCGGCGAGTTCTGTTGGATAAAATCAGGATTGGATAAACCGAGATTATAATTAATTATAGCATCTAGAGCCACGATGTTACAGTTTCTTTTTCTTGAACAAATTATTATTCCTGTTTCTGATACAATTTTCAACGTATATGATACGACATATTGAAATTATGCCGTTCAGTGCTGCATCGGATTACGATTGCACGAACTGGATATAAGGAGTCACGCTGTTTTTTTATCAAAACTGTGAAACACATTACCGTCTACCATCCGATATTAATTAAAAGATCTGGGCGGTGTCTTGCTGGATCACAGTAACAATGGACTGCTAATTACGTGTATAGGAAATTACATAGACTAAATCTTCGTTCTGAAAAAACAGTAAAGGTAACGGCAAATCCCATTTTTATTCCGGCAAAGTTTTCCTTTGGTGTCATTTGATAATATTTGCAAATGAATTTAATTTAGTAAGTGGTTTTGATAGCATTCTCCCTAAGATTGTACTTGGTCGCTTAGGTAAATATGGATCTCAGAAAGCAAAAGAAAGAAAAACAGGGAAGCCGCAATGACGTCACAGCTGCTTCCCGCGCTTTTCCCGAAACTTAGTTGCTTTGCGGTGACCAAGTGTGAGCAAATGTCGAAACTACTCGTCTTGTCAATTCCGTTTGTTGATCAATTTCGTTATATGATACCAAAGAGTAAGATTTTACAGAAAAGAGTATGTGTATCTCAGCTCTAGCCATATACCTTTAAAGTAAATATGCAGTCTGATGTGCAACGCCTTCGTGACGGACGCCAGACAACCACCAGGAAACACAAAGAAAAATCAGCTCACCTCCCATTTTTTCCGGGATAAGGTAAGATTCCTTAGAACATAGTATACTGGATCTACTGCAGTACCATTTTTGGATAATTTTCTATATTACCTTCGCCACACCGATATCGACGATTTTGGTATCGTTGGATTCCTCTCACTGTCCATATTCCAAATATGTAGGTTTTATTGCACGGAAACCCCCCGTTAGCGAGAAACTTGGCCCCGATTGCAAGGGAGGGCATGGAAGGTTCTAGAGAAAATCGAGGTTAAATAACATTAATAGTATAACACTGAAAATAACCATGGTTGTTCCTATGACTTGCCATTGCAGGGGGCTGCGCCCCCTACGATACCCCCTGGGGGGGGGCTACCGCCCCCTAACCCCCGCCGAGGAAGCAAAACCTCCACCACGTATTCCCGGCAGGCTAGAGCGTTACACAATTCTCGTCGATCTCGGAGCGGTGGACGTATTTACCTCGTAACATTCCCACTGAATTAGCATACTAACCTTGACATAGTCAGCATTGTATACACACACGATTGTAGTATAATCAGGATGAACAGAGTATACCATGAACAGAAGAGCGCCCTCGTCGGCGGGTTTTGCGCCTCTCTCGATGTTACGCTGATGGCCTCAAGGTCGAGTTTCCCGTCCCCTGGAACCACGATTTTCGAAATCCTAACCGAAATAACCGTCGCATTCAGTACTTCGCCATGGCCGCCGCGA